GAATGAAGAAATTGATGACCAGCAACAAGCTAATACTGAGGTCCGAGTTGATGTTGAGATCCAGGATGAGAATGATGAACCGGGTTCTCAAGCTAAAGAACAGCTGAGATATCCAACTCGAGAAAGAAGAACCTCTACAAGATACCCATATGATGAATACATCATCATTGCTGAAGATGGTGAGCCTCAGAGTTATGATGAGGCTGTGACGAGCTCAGAGAAAAAAGAATGGAAAAAGGCAATGTAAGATGAGATGAAATCTTTGCACGAGAATCAGACTTATGAGCTGACCGAGTTGCCAGAAGGAAGACAAGCTCTGAAAAATAAATGGGTCTACAAGATTAAGAACGAAGAGAATGGGAAGAAGCATAGATACAAAGCTCGGATTGTAGTGAAAGGCTGCAATCAGAAGAAAGGTGTAGATTTTGAGGAGATTTTTTCTCTTGTGGTGAAAATGACCTCAATCTGAACTGTGTTAGCCATGGCTGCTTCGATGGACCTCGAGGTAGAACAAATGGACGTGAAGAAGATATTTCTTCACGGTGACTTAGAAGAAGAAATATATATGGAGCAACCTGAGGGGTTCCGTGCTCCACACCAAGATGACTTGGTATGTCGGTTGAAGAAGAGCCTTTATAGCTTGAAACAAGCACCTCGGCAGTGGTACAAGAAGTTTGAATCACTCATGACCGATCACAAGTTTGAGAAGACAGAAGCCGACCACTGCGTATTTGTGAAGAGGTATGAGGCCGGAGATTTTTTGATTTTGTTGTTATATGTTGACGACATGCTTATTGTAGGGAAAGACAAATCGAGGATAGCCGCCCTGAAGAAGGTATTGAGCTCGTCCTTCGCAACGAAGGACCTCGGCCCTGTAAAGCAGATTCTCGGAATCAAGATTATCCGAGATAGACAAAAGAAGCTACTGTGGCTAAGTCAAGAGAAGTATATTGAGAAAATTCTGAAGAGATTCAGCATGGACAAAGCCAAAACAGTGAGCACCCCCTTAGCCGGACACATAAAGCTGAACCAGAAGCAGTGTCTGAGATCTGATGAAGACAAAGATGAGATGCTGAAGATCCTGCACCAATCCGTCGTCGGAAGCTTGATATACACAATGGTTTGCTCTAGACCCGACTTGGCATATGCTGTTGGAATAGTAAGCCGGTATTTGTCAAATCCCGGCAAAGAGCACTGGGAAGCAGCTAAGTGGATCTTCAAGTACCTCCGAGGTACGACCAACTTTTGCCTCCGATTGGAGAAGGAAAAGTCGAGTTGCAAGGCTATTCGGATTCTGATTTAGGGGGAGATTCCGACTCGACAACGGGATACGTGATGATATTTGCCGGAGGATCTGTCTCCTGGCAATCAAGACTTCAGAAGTGTGTTTCACTATCGACAACTGAGGCTGAGTACATTGCCGCTACTGAGGCAAGCAAAGAGATGTTATGGATGAAGAAGTTCCTCATTGAACTCGGCCATGATCAAGACAAGTACGAGTTGGGTTGTAACAATCAAAGCGCAATCCATCTTGCAAAGAATTCGACCTATCACTCCCGCACTAAGCACATTGATGTGAGGTATCACTGGATCTGGGATGTGGTGGAAGGTGGAGAGCTCGAACTCGTCAAAGTGCACACTGACCAAAATTAGTCCAACATAATGACAACGCCGGTTCCAACAAGAAAATTTGAAGTTTGCTGTAAAGGAGCTGGGTTGATGCTGAAGCCGACGCATTGAAGTCGGAGGGGGAGATTTATTGGGTTTTCCTCCTTCAATGCTAAGCCCAAGCCCATTGAGGGGTTTTCTAAAAATTCTAAACCCTAGATCTCACCTCCTCTATATATTCATTAGTTGTGGACTTGTGGGTGGAGGCTGGGTTAGAATTAGAGAGAGATTTGAGAAAAAATTATTTGACAGATTTGTGAGCAAAACTTTAAGCTTTGTATTTGAGAGATCTCTAGAGAGAGTTTGAGTGAAACATCTCTAGGGTAGTTTGATTATCACCATTGTTGGAAAGGTTGAGTTAACCACCACATTGGTGTATTTTGATTCTTTGTATCTATTATTTTCATAGTGGACGTTTGATCTGAACTAGGTTCCGTGGGTTTTTACTTCTTCATTGGAGAATGTTTTCCCACGTTAAAATCTGTTTGTGTTCTCCTTCTCTCTCTCTTGTTTGTGTTTTTCGTTTTCCGCTGCACTACCCAATTTGGTGAAGTTCAGGATCTTGTTGATTGATTTCCGCAAAAGGCTGCTTAGCCGAGCTTGAGGAAACTGAGTTCCCAACAATCACCCCGTCCCCACATGCAAAAAAAAAAATGGAAAAGAAAAGAAAGAAAGAAACAAAAAAAAACAAAAACTTATAACAAACCCAATAAGCAAACTATATTCACCATTAATTAAGGACAGATATATAAGTTGTGATTTTGAGAAAGAGAAATTTTAGTTTTGGTATCAGGTATTGACACTATTATAAAATAAAATGAAGTCAAAACTCTATCATGCATTTTTCCCTTTTTTTTGTCTTATCACATAGATTCTTGGAGAAAAAGGAATGTGGAAACTTCTGCACAAAGGATCCTATTATTTGGGGAAAGTTAAGATCTAGGCCAAACTATGCTACTTTGTGTTTTTGGATGATTGCAACTTTATTCATAAGTTAAAGTAATAAAAGAATAGGAGAAAAAGAAAGGAAAATAGATTAAAGTAATAAAATTTATAAGTCCTGTTAAAAGATATATGGGAATTACTTTCTTATGTTACATAAAAAATTTTATCTCCTACACTCACATTTTTCAAGTGGGTCTCACAAGATTTTTTTTTCTCTCACTTCCAACTTTTTTCTCTCTTCTAACTTTTGTTTGAGCATGAGATAATACTTCTCTTATGCAACATAAGAGAAGTATTACCCAAGATATATATATATATATATATATATATATATATATATATATATATATATATTATTTATTGATTTATCAATTATTCGACTAGTCCGATTTGAGTCGGATAGGACCAGATAACTCTCCCTACCAGCTTTAACATAATTATATTCACATGAACTCAAATTGGAGACCACTATGAGTTAATCACTGCTTGGTGATAAGTTTGTTTATTACATTTTAAGTATCATTATTGTTGTATCATGCTAGCGAATCTGCAGATGATACAGACGTTTCCCTTTTTATACAAAACAAACTTGAAATGCTACGAAACTTCATTATTAGCCCAAAGGCCACGGCCTAAAAATTTCTATGAAAACTTTTTGTGCACGGCCCTTCTTTTCTAATTAGCTGATACACAGTTTTAAAATATTTGCTAAGGATTTGAGACTTGGCCCCCTTATCTTTATGTCACAAACTTGAATATGAACTTTTTGATAGTCAAGCCAACTTGTAATTAGACATATAAATTAAAGCATCACGAAATTTCACAAGGTTAAAGGGGAACGCACATGAGCTATTGGCATTCCTTTTCAACACCACACAAGTCAAGTACGAATAGAAAGGACACGTGTGATACTCTTGCCCTTGCAAAAAAACGGTGGAATTACTATATATTTTACTCATTGTATGTACATAATCAAAATTACAATATAAAATGGAATTGTTTGATTTTTTTTCCCTAAGACAAGGGCGGGCTATTTAATTATGGGAAAAATTACTTTTATGTTATATGTGATAATTTTTTCTCCTACACATCATTCTTCGATAATTGTGCCACCTTTTTCTTTTATTACTTTTTTATTTTTTAGATGGTAGAGCCTACAAATTTATCTCTATGACATGAGATAACTTATTTCCTTTAACATGAGATTAATAAAATTCTTTAATTATTCATGGGAAATATCAGTATTGGACCCAACAAAAGATCGTACTAGAGTATAATTGAAAAGTGTATTTCCTTCTGTGTTTTTTTTTCATCCCGTGTCTATACATTAAAAGAAGTAGTACCTGCGCTGAGAATACCTCATCTCCTTTCATACGTATCTGCATAAATACAAAAATTAGGAAAAATAATCATAAATAATTTTGCATGGTTTAATGTGATTAGACCAAACATGTCTATATCTGTGGATGGGAAGAGCCTATTATCAAAATAAAACTATGAGTTCCTCGTTTCTACTGTTGCTGCAGGGAAAAGTTACAACAAAGATATTTACTTTAGGATGCGAAAAAAATTCTAGAATATGAATCCGGATTTTGGTGAAAATAAATATTGCTGCAAATTTTTTGATCTGCAGCAACAACAGAATTATTAAAGTCTAAAATTATACAATAAAGTCTATAGGCACTCTTAATCTCACTAAATCAATCATACAACAAAGCCTTCAGTTTTTTTTTTTTTTTATCTTGTTTGAGAGTTGTCATAACTTGTGTGTATCCTCTGTTAAATGACTAATAGCTACTTCACTAATTTCGGTTGAATTGAAGTATCATCAATGGAATAAGAATGGGACCAAATGGGTTGGAAATTTTGGAATGTATTTCAAACAACCTCAAGGGGGTGTTTGGTTCAAGTTTTTGGAGAGGATTACCGGTAATCCTTCTTTAGTAAATGTAATTACCACGTTTGGTAGAAGGAATAAATTACGATTCCCGGATATCCAAGGATTACCGGTAATTTGATTTATAAAGAAAAGTCACTATTCAGATTACCAAAAATAATATGGTAATTCGGAATACCAATCAGAATACCAAGTAAAGGGAAAGCACAACAATAAATTTTGAGACAAAAATACCCCAATACACATAAAAATCTAGACCCAATCTATCAATTACAAAAGTAAAAATAGTTTGGGATTATTTTTGTAAAATAACCTCATATTCCAAGTCATATTTCGTTCTAAACCAAATATGGAATCAGTAATTTTTACCCAGTATTTCCGGTAATATTTTGGCGAATCAAACACATCTTTCGTAAGATTCCAAGTAAACTCAATTTCTACTGAATTCCCATTAATCATGATTCCCGGTCACCAAAAAATTTCTCCTGTACCAAACACACCCCAAGAGTTAAAAAGGAATCTAGTCGTTTTCAACTTGTTTAGTCATTACATCGAGAACAATTACACAACATTAGGCTACATAAATCTATAATTTACACGGCCTTTGCTTTTCTAGTAAAGCATTTGTTTTCTTGGCCGAAATAGAGACATACAAAAGTAAGATGAGTGGATAATATCTGCCCAAAGTGGAAATAGAAGAAAATTGAACAAAGGTATTGGCAGAAATGCAAGTACAGAAATAAAATTTGGAACCCACATTAAACCATGATAATATGTTATGAAAAAGGAAACACTAAATGCTATCATCATGCTTGTGATGGAGATGAATTGCGCTATCAATCCAAATAGCAACTTGAAGGGCAGTGACTTGAAGTGGTCATCCACTGAATAACTTGAGATGAGGATAGACAAGAACATTAGAATGGAGAGTGAAGATGAGATTAGTGCAGTTGCATCTGATACTGCAAATATAAGGAATGCTGGTTTCTGCATATAGTTAGGATTTCCTGTATTTTTATTGTTGCCACCGGGTATGGTAAATGTCGCAGTAAACACACCAGTGGCTATGAGTGTTGAAATAAGCATACAATTATTTGCTGTGCTCTTTGTCCAAGACTCTGCCTTTGCCAATAATTCTTTATGTTCCTCGGCAAATAATTCACGAGGAGTTTTACCATTAGAATTTTTCTTCTCTATTTCTGATGGCAGCACTAGTTTCTTCACCTCCTGCCACATTAAAATATAATAATGTATGTGATACTACGTAAATATAATGGCTTTAACATCATAGAATGATGCATCAGTTAAGTAAGACTGATTACAAATATCACCGCTCTCCATTAAATACGGACTAGCGAGGACGGGCAGAGGGTAATTCTTATACATAATCTTACTTTTACATAATTGCAAAGAGGCTGTTTTACAGATTCGAATCCATGAACTTTTAGTCACAAAAGAATAGTTTTGCTGTTGTTCCATTAAACCCCGACTAGTGAGGGTGGAGTGAGGACAATCCTTGTATACAACCTTATTCTTGCATAATTGCAAAGAAGCTATTTTCCGGATTCGAAGCCGTGACCTTTAAGATTGATTACAAATACAAGACCATGTAATCTTATATGACATATATATATTGTGGAGTTGTGTAGGATTAATACCTCAAACCATAGTAATTCATGTGTCATTTGAAGAGCTGCTCCAGAAATTAAGTTAAGCTGATATGGAGGTGCTAATTTTGCAGCACAATGCAATATATTGTTTACTTCATCATCCTCAAAAGTTGCTATCAAATCTTTGATGGAGCCTAGTTCATGTCTTAGACTGAAGATGCTTGAATGGCGATGCAGAACAGCAATGTGAATTATGCTTCGGTTTCTGCCATCCACTTCCCATATTAAATCAGGGTAAGACCTCATAAGCTCGGCCAAAAAGTGAAAATTTCCAACTTCTGTAGCATCAAATGTTATTTGTGATGGTTGACTTATGAATCTGCTCATCTCTGTTTCGGTGTAATCATGATTGAGAAGAATGCTCCAGAGACACCCAACAAGTTGGAGGTATGGAGTTTGCTTCATATCTATCATGCATAATTTGACTAGTTGGTAATGTGATGAGAAACTAATGATCAAAAAGTAAATTTTCTGGTTGAAGCTATCAATAATATGAATATCTTTTTCTTTTTTTAATTACACATTCTTAAAGATAAAAGTTTTGATGTCCCCTGTTATATAAAATCTAAACAAATATGAGCTTGGTCACTTTGGAATCTCTGAAATACAAAACCCAGAAAAATAGGAAAGTGTGGTGAATTTCAAAGCACTTCAACAATTTAGAGATTAAGGAATAAGTATTTATTCATTTTTTTAATTTTTTAAAGTAAGAGTAAATCGACATTTCAAGACACTAGTGCATATAATTACCTCAAAGTTATGAATCTATGAGATTATCCACAGTTAAACATTATATTAACAAGAATTAGAAGAATTTGCTAAGGCCAATGGCTAGTGTGTGAAAAAACAGTATACAAGAAACATGAACTCAGTTCCTTAGTTTCCCAAATAACAGTAACGGTAAAGACTTACCAGAGCTTATGACCTGGTTTTGAAGATACCATTGACCTCGACAATCAGAAGGCTTTCGAGCCAAGACATGCAAGCCAGTTTCATTGTTCTCATTCCGGGCCAACGCCAGCATTGACTGTTTTTGTAACATTTGCAAAGCTAAATCTGCAAAATTTCCAATAGTTGCTAGGAGTGCAATTGCTGATAAGTGATAACAGCATATGAACTTTAATTTTTCTTTTCTTTTCTTTTCTGTTGCTATTATTGTGATGAATTACTTTGGGATGTACATGACACGTACACGTATAGAAGAAAATGGGGACATGCATCATCTTTAAATCAAAGACTTATCTAGTGTGCAATCTACAATTTAAACTGCAACACAATAAACAATTTATAGATTAAGATATGCTTGAAGTATTATGTCCTGTATTCATTAATTGATTCATCATGACTGATTATGAAATGTCTTCACCAAATTACTATATTTTATTACACTAATACCTTCTATCACGAAAACATAAACATAGCCTAACAGATATACATTAACTGAGCCGTTAGCTTGCTGTTATCATGAATGTTTTTGTGGTCAAATCTCACTCTTATTCTTGTTCAGCCTTTTTTTTTTTTTTTGTATTACATGGGAATTGAACACACACCACTATACTACAAACACCTAACACACACCCCACACCACTAGGCTAATCCTAGTGGATTCTTTTCACCGTTAATGTCTCATTTTAATGCTTATTTACTAAACCTTGTGTAAGTTGCTACTTGCTACCATGTGTCAATCTTCAAGTATCAAGGACTCACTGCATAAGGAGAAATTCCAAGCAATTTACTCACCATATAAACCATTCTTGATACAAACGAAGAACAGTGTATTCCAGTCCTCTTCTTCGAATATGTCTGTAGTCTTAGTATATAGAAACCTAGCCATGTCAAATCTTCCCTGCAAGACAGCCATGTAAAGAGGAGTCATTTCTTCTCCACCTCTGATACGTGGTAGGTATGCATTTTTCTCGATCAATATAGCAGCAATTTTCAGGTTTCCAGTTGCAGCAGCAAAGCAAAACGCTGTGTTTCCATTGTAGTCTTGCAGTTCAAGGTCATGAGGGTTCAGCAATTTAATAAGCTCCTCCACAAAGTGAACATGGTTTGCTCCTGCTGCTACGTGAAGTAGTGTCCCGCATTCCTTTGTTATAGCAGCGTTCTGTAGACTATTGTCTGCATCTATCATATGCTTGGCTTCATTCCAGTCACCGTTCAGTGCTAGCTTATAAAGGGGTACACATTTGTCCAAGTATATCCCTGAAGAATTAGAGTGGAAAATCATTTCAACTTTATAGAGCATAAATACTGTTACACAAAAAATGGTTTTAGAATCACATTGTGGTAGTTCAGTTGGCGTATGGGAGCTAAGCAGATGGGGTGAGAGTATGTGTTCGAATCTCCCAAATACTATTTTTGGGAGGAGTTTAAAGCTTTAATCCTGGACCCGTCCCGAATCGGATTAGTTGCGAAGCAACTAACCGATTGGAATATTTAAAAAAAAAAAAAAAAATCGTTTGAGCTTTTGGCGAGTGAAAAATTTAACCAGGGCAGTAATAGATGTTAAATCGAAAACAAAAAAAAGTAAGGGAAGAGAAATTAAACACGACGATTTACCTTGGTTGTAGGCTAGTTTAGATCGTTGATACTGTATTTGTCAGTTTAATTTAGAAAAATTATAACAATAATTATTCACCGACCCAAGGTCAAATTATTAAGAAAAGAAAAATTACAATAAGTTAGAAGCCTACAACAGTACCTTGACTTTCTGCTGACCCTACCAACAAGAACTTCCACTATTATTGTCACGTGGTTAATTTTTTAATCTATGGATAGAGTTACGAAAAATGAAAGAGAATAATTAATTTCAAATCATGGAATATACTTTCATGTAGCATCTTTGGGGGCTTCCCAACAGCCACTGACAAAGCTAAAAAAATTTATGAGAGAGTACGAAAAAGACAAAATTCAAGCTAATTTAGACCGGATAACACTATAATAAATCCATATCTAATCAAATTTGAAGATCTCTAAGTTTTCTTTTGGAGGGGCGATCGCCCTTCTTGCCACTGCTTGACTCCACCACCGTCTATAGCCCACTTTTGTAATAAGAGCTTTCTTAAACTAATCAAAAATAAATAAATGATTAAATGATGATATCATTATTATTTATCTTATGTATATTTTAACAATAATATATTTTTATTTTTTTATTATAATAATATTATCATAAGATGCATCAATATTTTTATAAATGTGAAATAACATAGTAAATATGAATTTTTTCAGTATAAATTTTATTTATTTAAAGAGAAATATGTTTTTCTCTCATGTAACACACAAAAAATAAATACGACCCACTAAGAATAAAAGAGAGGGAAAAAAAATGTACCCATATGCTTTTTTGTATGTTGCATGTTATTTAATTATATACACAAATCATTTTTGGTAGAAAATTAGAAGTTTAGTGAAATGAAACTTATTTTTTAATAAAAAAGAATGATGACTAAATACATATACGAGAGAGAGAGAGAGAGAGAGAGAGAGAGAGAGAGAGAGAGAGAGAGAGTACTTCTATCTTGTATTAGGTGAAGGGAAGGGCGTGGAAATTGTGCAGAAGCAATCTGAAGAACATGGCCTTGTGGTGATGATGTTGTTAGTTCAAGGGAAGCAGAAGCAATCTGAACCTGCTGGCCTTGTGATGGTGATGTTGCTGAGTTCGCATTTTCAGTCTCCATATTTCTCTAAAACAAACATAGAATCGAATCTTTTTTGCGGACTGAGTATTTTGATTATGAACAAAGTTGTTGTATTCAGAATTACGTAGTATTACATTTTAACACCAAAAGCAAAACGACAAAACAAAAAAATAGCAATTGCGAAATTACGTTCACTCCGTTTAGGCTTATGTTTACCGTTTATGTTTTTCAACAGTCAGATTCTCACTAATTTTTCAGAGCTCCCCGAATCCTTTGAGTGTAATAATCATCGTCGTTGGGGCGTTTAATGGAAGCCACGGTTGATTTTTCGTTTGCTTATTAACGTTATCCAGCATAGTCTAATTAGTTAATAATATTTATTTTACTAATTAATATTTTAATTATGAATTATATTAACAACATCCTATTTAATTTAAGAATTAAAAATACCTCGCATTTTCGTAACAGTGTTTCAAAAGTTTTATCGTTCCAAGAATATTGGATATATATAATTATATTGGGTTTAAATTTTAATATAAGAGATAAAAGTATCTTTTACGTGTATAAAAATAGGAAAATACTACTCTCATTTTACATTAGGTAATTATCTCACTTCGAAAATTTCACCTACTTTTTTTTTATCCTTTAATGATGAGCCCCACGTGGCTTCTTTATGTAACATAAGAAAACTACTCTAATGTAATATGAGAGTAACATTTCTCATAAAAATATGTAGGATTAGTTTTTCTCCTTCTTTTTCTTTTTCTTTTTCTTATATGAACCCTACGTTAACCCCAAATATTTTTATGGGTTTCATATTTTTTATGTCATAGAAGATAAAATTATTTTTCCAATATATATATAAAATTTTTGTGGGTCATCATGTAAAGAAAAAAAAAAAACATAAACGTACATATCTTTATATGTATTATAAACCTTATTTTTATATGTATATATACGAGATAATTTTATGAAAGAAATTTAAGCTCAATTATATATCCGTATATTTGAAAATGAAATCAAGAGCGGTGTTACCATGTGTTGATGTGGTAAGTTATTAAAATGATTTTTCGTTTGCTTATTAACGTTTAATGGCTGTGCACTATGCTTGTGTCTTATTCTATCATTAAATCAACTTGCAAGTTGCAACAGAGACATGCTACGTGTATGCACCCAGTTAGCCAGCATTTTCTTTCATGAAACATAATCGATTTTTTTTTTATTTTTTTTTGGCAATTGACTGGTACAAACTACAAGTCTACGCGATACACACCTCAAAATTTTATCCGCAATGAGTTATTCCGAACCAGATATTTCAAGTCTGCACAGGATCTTCCCCTATGCTTGCCTGTTACCAAGACTGGTTAACTGAAAGTCAGTGTATCATCCGGGCCAAAATAAAATATATACTAGAATATATTATAATTAATCTGGTATAGATTTTAAGAAACATTTGAAGAGGAAGGCAGAAATCAGCTCTTTATGTAATAGTTTTACCTCAAGAACTTGTATAGAATAGAGGATGGCTATATTAAGAGAGATTACGAACTAGAGAAGCATAAGATATATAACCAGCCACAAAATAGTATATGATATATAATGTGATAGATTTAGGGAAGATACTGATCACACCCCAAGCAAGAGAAAGACTTGTTTAGTATACCGCCTTAGATTTTGAAATCAACGGCATGATTCTGAAACTCTATGTGCAATAACATATTTTCAAATGGTTGTTGAAGAGTTATTTCAATCATTTCTAGCAAAAAGGAGGACGAAGAGGGAGGGAAGATAGAGAATTAAGGCGGTGAAATAAACTCAAATAATGGAGAGGGAAGGAAGGAATTCGTATTAGAAGCTAAGCGAGAATGGAATTAGTGAGAAAGAGAGAGAGAAAAATTAATGGAATTTAACTCAAAAATTCTGAGAACAGAATAAAAAGCTGATAAAGAGACACGAGTTTACCTAAATAATCTTCATGAATAGAGTGAGATTGCTTCCCACAAACGGTGGAAACCCAAGTGCGTCTGGTTGGAATATCTGCAAAGGCGGCTATTGCAATTCAGGTCTTGTGTGGCTGTCAACTTGAGTGGATGTGTAATTACTATAAATATCGAAAGAAAAATATATTCCCATTTTTAGTCAATTGTAAAACATCAATTAAATTTATAAGTCAGTGGAATTATAATTCTAAAAAAAAAGAACATGCATGTATTATGTACTATATAGTCATTGTTTATTATAGCCACACTTACTACAGTTTTGGCGCTTTATGTGTGGGCCTTAAACCTTTTAAGCTGTTTTCCACCGTCCAAGACTAAATAATAATAAGACAAAGCAAAAAGTGGAAGGCATTAATGGACTTATCAAACCAATGACCAGAGACTGTAGCACACTGTATTCATCGCACTGCCTGTGATTAACTAAAATGCTTCCATAAAGTCACAAACTAACGCAGTTGTTAATTTTATGGTATTGTACGTACTTAATTTATTCACTAAACCGTACATTTTATGAATTAAGTAACTTTATTTTCTAAATCTTATTCCACTTATGAATTAAGTTTAAATTTAGATATCGGAAGTAGATAAATACCTATAATTCAATTATTAAAGTTCTTTTGAAACTTCTTGTGTATAATATGTGTTTGGATTAGTTTATTTTATATTTAAAATTTTTGAACAAACTTGTTATTATTATTATTATTTGGTGAAAAAAACAAAGTTATTCTTTGAGGCTAGTTGGCTTCTCTCTGCTATTCACACAAGCTTTGACTCTTTAAGTTAGCTATGAAACTAATATGGAGAGCAGGGCGGATCGGTGATAAAAATACTTAAATTCCTTTCAAAAGTGACATGTGAAAATCGAACCGGTACCCTTTTGTTTTTATTTATTCAGCTCCCTTGCTACCAACTGAGCTACTATTATTTGATATAACAAGTATTAAAATATTAGACGGCCTTTGCTGTTAAAAAAAATGAGGATATAAAAGCAAAACAACAAACGACATATACTCAACTTTCAAACAAATTAATATGTTAGATTCTTACATATTTTTTACGTGATAATTAGTGCTTGATTGAGGCCTTATACATGTTATAAAATATACGTTGAGAACAATTGAAATATATACATGAACCAACTCATCATCTCAATCTTTTTTTTTTTTTTAATAAAGAATGTAGGAATTTTTTTAAATAAAATTATACAATAAGAAATTTCAACGTATATTATACTTGTCTTAAAATGATAATCTTTAAAATAAAAATGGAAATTGATTGAATTTATGAATGAGAGGCTAAAGTCACCAGCCGCAATATTTGTCCTCCTTCACTTGGATGATGTATTTTACTTGTTTCCATAAGTTAAATCGAAATACAATAATACAAATGGGCTGCTGCTTCCTTTGGAACAGACATGGTAGGCGGTCTACAGGTGTTGATTTTCTTAAAATTGGGAACATTATTGGTTTATGTTGGCTTGCATGGCTTCTCTGAATTTTCACGCCACCAAGTCATGGATTTAGCTAATTAGCCACACATTAATCAACTGTTATAAATTCAAGAATAATGAGTTAAAAATGTCCAATGAGGAGAAAAAATTAATTAAAGTATATATGATTATATATAAATATCCTTAATTTTAATGTCATAATTTTTTGGTCATATATACCATTTCTTATTATATAATCAAAGATGTTTAGTTAATGATAAGTTAATTTCTTTTTGATACATTTAATGGTATGTTAATAAATTATTAAAAATTCATTAAAAGACTAAAAAATTTTAAGTAGCTAAATTTTTCTATAATTTGACAATAATAATATAAATTTTTTACAATAATAAATAAAAAATTTCTAAAGGCTAGCTAGAATATTAACATTTGAATGAAACAATAATTAATTTACATAAAAACTCTAATAGGACAGAGTTAGTTGAACATAAACTTCAGCAACGAATTAATCTTGCAATTACTTGTGGGAAAACTTGACCCAAGATATGTAGAGTATATTGATGAATAAAATTTCATCACTAAAAAGATAGATAAACATGTTTTTTGAAAGACATTGTCTGCATATACATCATCTGGGCTAACTTAAAACCAGTGCATCTAGATCTACCACCAATAAAATTGGATTCAATCAAATTATTAAAAGACAGAATGCAAAAGCATTGGTGGGGGGGTCCAACCAAATTGGTGGGGGGTCCAACCAATTTGACTGACAAATAATGCGACAAATTGCGATTTGTTGCATGGAAAGGCTGGGGGAAGTTCCATCATAAAATTTCTAATGAATGTTGACTTTCTCTTTGAGAAAGTCCAGGTCATAATTTGAACCAAATATTTTTTTTCTTATAAATTTTGTCCAAATTATAATTTTAAATTATAAATAAGAATCAAAATAAGCTCCGTACGAAAGGTTTTCTTACAGATTAACCTTTATATATATGCAATTACCATTGCAATCCTCTAGTAACAAATGAATTTTTCTTAGTTGAAGGTACATGTTCTGCTTATGAATAATTTACATCAATAACAATCTTGTAATAATATAGCAAAAAGGAAAGATAAGAGCGCGTTTGTTTCAAGTTTTTAAAAAAGTAACTTTTATCTTTTTCTTAACTTAGAAGTGCTTTTTATAAAAGTTAAAGCTATTTATATTTTTATAAAAATATTTAGTTTTTGAAATGAATATTTGACTTTTGACTTTTACTTTTTTTAGAAGTTAAAATTTTTAGCTTCTGAAAAAAGTAAATTTTTGACTTTTTTGTGACTTCTGCTTTTTTTAAAAGCAGGCATCCAAACGCACTAAAATGAGAAGTGCTTTTTTTCAAGAAAAAAAAACAGCTTTTGAAGGAATAAAAAGCTCATCCAAACGAGTCGTAAGTAATTAAACAAAACCCAATTATAACAATGGGCCACCTGTGTCGCGGCTCTCTCACTTAACTAGATTATGGTCTTTGATGGAGTAATATTTTTAAGTGAAGGAAACAATAATGTTAAAACAAAATTCTCTTTGAACGTACGTAGCACCAAGTATATCCGCACCAAGGAAACAATAATGTTAAAACAAAATGCTAATATGTTTAGTTGGTATCAGAGCTCTCGATCTGAGGGCTTTGCTTCCGCACATATTATCTTCTTTTTTAAAAAAATCCTAATTTCTTTGCCTCTTGCTGCCATCAGCCGCCACCGGAAAATTTTTCCGGGGACCTTTTGGACCAAGGGGACCATTGTTGACCTTATTTTTCCTCCGATCTATCATTCTACGTACTGTTCCTCCGCCACAAACGACCGAAACACCTCCGACCGCCTCCAATCAGATCTGTCTTCACTGTTTGGACCACTTTCCGGCGACTTTTCAACCGCGACCACCCACAGACAGGTGCGCGCTCACCGGACGACCACACCAGAAAAATCTCAGCCGGCGAAGCCCCTCCACGCGCCGCCCCTTTCCCGGCGAGTGAATCCCACGCGCAGCTCCTTTCTCCAGCGCGTGGAGGCGCGTGCGGCCGTGTTTTTGGACCAGACCACCACCATTCTTCTCGTCTTCTTGTCTTCTGTCTGGATCTATAATTATTTTTCTGATCAGAGGTCATTTGATATTCTGTTTGGTTGATTTTATCGCTGGTTGTTAACTTTTTTTTGTTAAAGAATGGCCGAGCATGATAGTTCTTCGATCTTATCTGGTAAGAGCACACGTTCTATATCTCTTATTGCTTCTTGCACTGATTTTAAAACCTCATGGATTTTGGATTCTGGTGCAACTGATCATATGGCTTGTCGTACTGAGTTGTTTTGTTCTTATCATCCTACTGTTGGTAGTCATACTATATCCGTAGCTGATGGATCCCATAAATCAGTTATTGGTTCTGGTAACATTCAAATTCAACCTTCCTTGTTTCTTAAAAATGTTCTTTATGTTCCTCAGCTTTCTACTAATCTTATCTCTACTCAAAAACTTACAACTGATTTGAATTGTTTTATCACATTTTTTCCTTCTCATTGTCTTATTCAGGATCTTACCACGAAGAAGACAATTGGAGTTGCTAATGAACAGGATGAGTTGTATCATCTCCTTCCAGACCATGCTAGCAAAAATCAGTTATTAATGACACGTCATCCTTCAACTGCAGAGTCTATGATTTGGCTCCATCACAAGCGTCTGGGGCATCCACCATTTAGTCTTTTGAAGTCTATGTTCCCCTCTCTGTTTCTCAATAAGTCGGTTGAGACCTTTCATTGTGATGTTTGTGAATTTGCAAAACACCACCGAGTGTCATTTCCTTCTAGCACTATTAAAAGAAGGGAACCTTTTTCTCTTATCCATTCTGATGTTTGGGGCCCTTCTAAAGTGCACAGTGTTTCAGGTGCAAGGTGGTTTGTTTCTTTTATTGACGATTGTACTCGGATAACATGGATATACTTGATGAAAGACAAGTCTGAAGTACCAGAGATATTTATTCGGTTTCATCACATGGTTGAGACTCAGTTTGGTAAGGGTATTAAAAGAATCAGATATGATAATGGCACTGAGTACGTCAATCAACGCCTGTCATAATTCATTTCAGACAGAGGTATGATTCATGAGCTCACATGTGTTGATACCCCTCAACAAAACGGGGTTGCTGAAAGGAAAAATCGTCACCTTCTTGAAGTTGCTAGAGCACTACTTTTCCAGACATCTGTTCCTAGTTCTTATTGGGGAGAAGCAGTATTAGCTGCAACTTTTTTGATCAACCGTTTACCTTCACGGGTCCTTAACAATATCAGTCCTATTCATTCCATGACTTCCTTCTTTCCTTCTGTTCCCATATTGCAGAGCCTTCCACCAAGAGTGTTTGGATGTGTTGCCTTTGTCCATGTTCATAATCAACATCGGAGTAAGTTGGATCCTAGGGCTCTTAAGTGTGTCTTCCTTGGTTATAACCCTTATAAAAAAGGGTACAAGTGTTATCATCCACCAAGTCGGAAATTTTTTGTTTCTATGGATGTCACCTTTCAAGAATCTAAATCTTATTTCCTGGGTCCTCATCGTCAGGGGGAGAATAGTTCTTCAGAAGACTCGTCCCCTTCCTTCTTTGAGTCTGGATCAATCTTCTCTCTTCCCAGTGTGTCTGCTCCTGGTGTGTCAGAACCTTCAAATACACCTGAGATACAACCCATACTGTCTCACCAGCAACCTCAATCGTCTGAACCACTGGTAAGTCCTGAATCTCCTATTTCTTCTGAGTCTCCTGAATCTCCTGTTTCTGATTCTAATATTATTTCCTCTCATGATTTGTCTATTTCTTCTGATATCTCTAATGACTTACCCATTGCTTCTACTTCTGATGACTTACCTATTGCTCTTAGAAAAGGAAAAAGATCTTGTCACAAGAAAACTTGTTCCTCCTGTCCCTCTTGTACTCAATACCCTATCTCCCACTTTGTTTCCTCTGCTAATCTTTCTGTGCAGCACAAAAGCTTTGTTTCAGCACTATATTCTATTGCAATCCCAAAATCAGTACATGAAGCCTTGAAAGATAGGAATTGGGCTCAAGCCATGCAAGAGGAGATGAATGCTTCGGAGAAAAATAAAACATGGGAGGTTATTGATAGACCCAACGGAAAGAAAGCAGTAGGGTGCATATGGCTTTATGCCCTGAAATATAATTCTGATGGCACTCTTGAGAGATATAAAGCTCGATTAGTGGCCAAAGGTTACACTCAAACCTATGGCATTGATTATGAAGAAACCTTTGCTCCAGTTGCAAAGATGAATACAGTGAGAATCTTGTTATCCCTTGCTGCCCATTACAATTGGGATATAAATCAATTTGATGTGAAAAATGCTTTCCTCAATGGTGAGTTAGAAGAAGAAGTCTACATGAAAATCCCGCCTGGTTTTGATTCTGTGAAGGGGGAAAATAAAGTTTGTAGATTAAAAAAGGCCTTGTATGGATTGAAGCAGTCACCTCGTGCTTGGTTTGGAAGATTTACTAAGGTTATGATGACCTTATGATACAGACAGAGCCAAGAAGATCACACTCTTTTCTTCAAGCACTCCCAAAATGGGAAGCTTACTGTGCTCCTTGTATATGTTGATGATATTATTATCACAGGTGATGATTTTGTGGAGAGACAGATTCTGCAAACACGGCTTGCCTCTGAGTTTGAAATCAAAGACCTTGGGAAACTGAGATATTTCCTAGGGATAGAAGTAGCTCATTCAAGCAAAGGAATTTTTTATCAACCAGAGGAAATATGTTCTTGATCTTCTCAAAGAAGCAGGAAAGCTCGGGTGTAAACCCTCTAATACTCCTACTAAGCAGAATCACAAGATGGGCTATGAAGAAGAGAGTCCTCCAGTTGATAAAGGACAATATCAACGGCTAGTTGGGAAATTGATATATCTGGCCCATACTAGACCAGACCTAGCTTATGCTGTTAGTGTTGTCAGTCAGTTTATGCACGATCCAAAAGAAAAACACATGCAGGCAGTAGAGAGAATTCTTCAGTATCTTAAAGGTACTCCTGGTAAAGGATTGTTACTCCGACGTGATGGCAATCTATCTTTAGAAGTCTACACAGATGCTGATTATGCTGGATCCGTGACTGACCGTCGTTCTACCACTGGTTATTGCATGTTTCTTTGCGGTAACTTGGTGACATGGAGAAGTAAGAAACAAGATGTGGTTACCAGATCAAGTGCAGAAGCTGAATTTCGAGCTATGGCTCAAGGCATTTGTGAGTTACTGTGGCTGAAAATTGTACTTGATGATCTCAAAATAAAATGTGAGGGACCTATGAAGCTGCTATGTGATAATAAGTCCGCTATTTGTATAGCTCATAATCCAGTCCAACATGATCGGACTAAACATATTGAGGTTGACCGCCATTTCATCAAAGAGAAACTTGATAGCATGTTAATTATCACTCCATTCATTCCCACTGGGCGTCAATTAGCTGATCTATTAACAAAGGGGCTTCCTTCAGACAGATTTCAAGAACTTACTAGCAAGCTGGGAATGATAAATATCTATTCCTCAGCTTGAGGGGGAGTGTTGTAAATAATAATTATTTAGTTATTATTTAGTGATTTATTTGTTGTATTGGGCCAAGCCCATTAGGTTAAAATTAGGTCAAGTATTCTCTATAAATAGAGAACCCTTTGTACAGATTATTTACAATTCTATAATATATTAGAATACCCTTTTTCAAGTTAGATAATCACGAAAGAATTTCAGGCACAGAAAAAGCCTTCATCACCAAAGCACCCAAACAGATTCCACAGTAAACCTCTTAATTAACTACATCATCTCCATCATTCAACCCAAGCACATAGTCAAATATAAAACATACCTAAGCCCAATATAGGTTGGGTCCATGACTTATTCGTGTGGGCTTATCCCCATTATTTTTTATATGCCCTAATTTTAAAAAGAGAAAGAAAAGAATTGAAAAATTGCAGCGGTTGCACAAACGTGAGAATTTGAGAGAGAGTGCAGCAATCTTTCGTGAGAAAAAGAGAGAGAAAAGAGAGGAGAGTGAAAAAGAAAAAAGAAAAGAAACCTTCTCATGCGAATCGAACCGTGAGATTTTATTGAAAGAAGCTTAAACTTTAAAGAAGTGCTCCTGACATTTAATTTTCTTATTAAACTGTTACTTTGTGATTTGATGGTTTTTTTTTAGGACGAGATTTGTTTTCCTCAATTTGAAGCGTATTTTTAACTTTTCTTCTTGCTTTTTCTTTTGATTTTCATTTATTAGATGATGCAATTTGATTCCTCAATTTTATATATAAAAAGAGAATATTATATATTATGTACCCATTGTTATTACTTGGAATCTTGAATTAATGAAATTCATAAACTTCAATTTCCAAGTTCATACAAGAATTGTTAAGCCCATTACCATGGAATTCAAATCAAGAAAGTTTCACTAATCAAACATCAAGAACATGTACAATTGTTTGAATCAATTAATGGGTAATTGTCATCTTCATCAGAATTCTAGAAAAAGAAATTAGCAATACATGTTGAAGATTAAAGCAAAAATGAATTCTGACATTAAAGTAAACATGTTCTTCATTCACAAAGACAAGACACAGTAAAAGTTGAAGGTACAGACCAATTCACAAATAAAATTGTAAAACTACGAAAGGTTTAACCAAAGTATAGCAAATCCAAAAGCTTGCATGAAAATCTCTCCTGTTAAATCCCTTCAAGAATGAAGTCCTTCCTTATTCATGTATTTCCAAGAAACTTTCAAAGCTCAAACTCACAATTGCAAAGAAAACTAAAAGTGCTCAAAAAATTCAAAACTGATAAAACGAAATTTCTTCTCTTTTTTACAAAAATAAAGAATCTACTTTAAACTAAAGCTTCAAGAAGATGTTGTCCATTAGATCAAACGCAAATCCGACGGTTCTCACATTGCCATCTCATCTTTTTTGTTCTTTTTTGATCTGTCATGTGTCCTTCTCTACAGGCAAAATATGGAAATAATAAGTAAAAAGTTAAATTGCCTTTTTCTATCCCTTTTTACCAACTCGGGCTTACTTCTTTAGGTTTGGCCTAAATTTACTTGCATTTTAACAAATTTTAGCCCAAAAATTATCGGAGAATTATCACTAATTTAAGTAGAATTTACTAACAATGAATAAAAAACAGATTTTGATACGACGAATCAAGTAGATATATAGAAGATGAAATGAAAAAGAGAAAAGGGAAATTAATTAAAGACATGGAAAAAATAAAATAAAAGAAAAGAATGAACAAGTGATGAGTGAGCAGACAACCGGAAATGAAAAATGTTATTCAGAAAAGAAATGCCACAGAGGAATTGAAAAGGTCTTTATTTAGAAAAGACTATATATATAACTAGTAGGGCTAGCTTATTATAGTCTGCGACCCGACCGTACGTTGCATGCATAGAGAAAAACATAGATAGATAGATATGGTTTAATATTAGGGATACAAATTAGGATGTAGAGTCAGTGAGTTTGCGTTGTGCCAACTTCTCAAAGTAGAAAGGGACATCATTGGAGATGACATTGAGGGCAGAGTCATTAGCATTCCAAACAAAGATGCCAGGGAGTGATGCGGAACTGATGAGGTCGTTGCAGCCCTCAAGGAAGACCTCTCGTGATATCTTACCTGCGTCATTTGGATCGGTGCTGAATCCTGCCAACAGTTTTTCTTTGTCGTAAACATTTGATAGGTCACTGTAGAGTTTTATAAACTCAACCTTTGTGGACACAATCTGATCATAGAACTGGTAATCAACCCAGTTAATATCTTTTCCGTTAGCCATGTACAATTTCTTGTAGTGGGCTTGGACAGGATATGACGGAGCAATTGATACCACATTGATCACTCCATCCTTATTCTTAAGCCCATTTATAACTTTCCCAATGCAGTGGGAAAAGTCATCGGACTCTATGTTCTCATAGTTAATATCAATGCCATCAATTTGACCCTTGTAGTCTTTGATGATCTCTTTCAGCGATTCTTGAGCCTTCTCAATCCATACTTCTTTCTCAGCAGGATTGAATGGATATTTGGTGTCACCACTTGCACGACCTCCAATGCTTATTACCACCTTGATCACTTCATTCTCATGATCATTCTTCAGTTTCTTTATCTTTTCAGGACTGAAGTATCCATAGTTCCATCTCCGCTTGAATATTCCCGTGCCTCTTCCATTGTTGTCATAGTCCTCCATTGCAAATCCAAGAATGAAGTGGAATTCTCCAATCTTGGAGTTGATGATTTCATCAGGGAAATCATTTAAACTATCCGGCTCTTCCTTCACCCCAATGTATTCCCGAAAAATCTTTGGCTTCACAACGGCTAAGATATTCCTAGACATTGTGAGTTTAGACAGAGATATATATATGCTGATTGATTATGTTTTGCCTGTGGATTTAGATTGGGGTGTTTGGTGGGAATCAATGCTCAACTCTTCATGCCCTTTTATAAAGCTACCTACATATATAGCTAGAGCTAGGGTTCACCTTCAATTCTTAAGTTACTTTCTTGTGTTAGTGCATTATAATTATTAATTAATTCTTCACTAATCATTAATTATACGATGCAAACTAAGCATGACATAATCTGCTTATGTTAGCTTCTTTTCGTCATTCAATATAAAAATATGTAGATTGATTCCATCTATGCATGTATTTATTCAAAATAATATATAGATTTCCATTTCTCTGCACGTCTTCATTTTCATGTGCTATTCATATATAACAAAAATGAATTCATGAAGGATTAAGCCAAGCACGTTGACAACGATCATTTTAATAACTTCCTAATGGAATTGTATTATTCGGTCAAGAAATTTAATTTAACTTCTTTTTGCAAATTGATCATGTGACTGGATCCCATCTACTGCTACCTATCTGTTTATATTAATTATTTAATTTTCGTTTCTCCAAGTCTTCAATTTTATATGGTAATTATGCAATAATGAGTATTTTGAAGACGTCCAAATACCAATATCTCACAAGTAAAGGTTGTTAGGGAGATTAGACTTTCAGTATTCTTTCTTAATACATTACGAAACACCTTATTATGCATTTCAACTTCTTAATGTGAAATAGGCTATTTTGCTCTCGCTAAACTAAATTTGTAAAATATAAAGGTAGAATTAAGATCCCAAATCCCTATTGCGAACCCTAACCCTCGCAATCCCAAAAGAGTGATCAATTCTAGAAGAATTATAAGATGAAGAACAGGATAAAATAAATGCAATTGAAATAATTAAATATAAAATTAACCAAACTACAAGGGGTTCACATCAAGGGTTGTGACCCTTACCATAATAATAAAAAGACTAGCCAGACATATTCATGTCTGACAGAACAAAATATTCAAAAGAAAAAATAAAATAATAAAACCAGAAAATTGGAGAAGAAGCTTGCTCTGCGTTCTGTCTGCGTCTTCCTCTCTGTGCAAAAAAGTGTTTTTCTCTTGAGGTCTGAGTCTCTATTTATAGAGTCTTTGACCTGGTGGAGAATCTTGATCTAATCTTTTTCGCATCTCACTGTAATCTTGTCTCTGATTTAAAAAGGATTTAATGTTGATTGTCCGCACCTCCCACGCCACTAGCGTGGTTACCACGCTGTGAGCGTGGGAGTTTTTCTTTATAATCCTGGAGCACCACGCAACTAGCGTGGTTTCCACGCTGCAAGCGTGGGCTTTTTGAGGGTCTGGCGCTACTAGCGTGGTAGCTTCTGCCTGAATTTGATCTCTGGCGCTACTCGCGCGGTTCCCACGCCAGTAGCGTGGTAGCTTCTGCCTGAAAGGGCTCCCTTCACGCTATGAGCGTCATACCCACGCTGTGAGCGTGTGCCTTCAATTTAGTTTTTCCTCTTTAGCTCCAATTTGTCTATTTTTCCTACGAAATCAACATAAAATCAGTATGCAATCTCTGATTAAGAATTTGACAGATCAATAGTGATTATTGCTCTTTTTGCTTAAGATTTAATCACATTCTTTCTCTTTTTGGCTTAGATTTCCTTATATGCTGATCGCATATCAAACAATTCCCAGATTTGAACTTTGTTGTCCTCAGCAATGTAATAGATTCAAGTTATCAGCAAAGAATAATTCTGTGAAAAAATGGAACACAACATCTTAAGAATTCAGACTGCTATGCATGTATAACTCTCTGTTTAAAATTTCCAACAATGCTTTTCAGTTATATCAAGAATTTAGACTCCAGCTTGAATATTCCTCATCAGTTTAAATGTACTCTCATCACACTCAGTGTTTAAGGGTTTCACACTTATCCATCAGTGTAGTAGGAATTCCATAGGCTTGAACTTATTCTCAATTCCTAAGAATGAGGAATCCATTTGACATGCATAGACTGATCAAAAGGTCTTTGATAGGTTGTAACTTGGCCTGGTTTGGGGGTGAGAATCTTTTGGTCAGAAGCTGATTGGAGAGATTGAAATACTGATTTTAACAATACTTCCTTCTCTTTTAGGCTTTGCCTCATTTTACAAACTTGGGATTTTTTCCCTTTCTTCACTACCTTTTTCTTTCCTTGTTTGCAGATGTTTTCTTTCTTTTCTCTTTTGAGCTGTACTTTTTCTTCTTTTCCTTGTTCAGCTACTTAACTTTTCCTTTTGAGAAGTAATTTGACTTTTCTTCTTTGATCAACATTCAATCTCTCAAGGCGTGTCAAGAGGAACAGGATTAAGTAATTTTCATCAGGTTTGAATGAACTGGTTTAAAGCTCAAAGGGGCTTAACAATGGAAATTCTTATGGGTAGGCTGTTTGGCTCTAAGTTAACAAGAATAAAAATGCCCTTATCATTTCAGTAATGCATGCAAGCCAGAGAAACAATTCAAGTTCTAGAAACTACTACAGTGAGGCCTCTCAAAAAGAAAAATTTCTGTTTAGGCTCAAATCCTCACAGTTGTAATTCAACTAGAATCGCAATTCAAAGTTTCACATCAAACATTATCAAAAATTTCACCAAAATAGTTATAAAAACGAGCAGTCATCATTCTCAGATTAAAACAATTAATTGCTCACAGATATCATGCTTCATCTAACTCAATCTAATTATTTACTGAGTAAGCTTAGAACATTCTAGAACTGCTTGTTTAGGAATTCTATAAAATTTTCTTTTTTTTCTTTAAAAATTTTAATCTAACTAAAAACAGCAAATAAAAAAATAAAAAAATTGAAGGTTAAAATATCTCCCCTTTTTCAAAAAAATTTCTGTGTAGACGTCCTTTTCGTGGTGTAGTTCTGCAGTATTTAGCAAGTCTCGCATACAGCATGCGACAATTCCCAGATTTAGAACGTTGTTGTCCTCAGCAACAAACTATACTAGTCGAAGGGCTAATTCTGCCAGATGGAACACATACACTCATTTGTTAAATAGTAAACACAGTATAATCATGAAAATATACTGCATAAGGAGAAATAATCCAACCATATAAACCAACAAAGTACTCAAAACATCAAAATAAAATGCCAAAGTAAATGTCATGGTGAAGTGAACTGGCACTCACGGCGTGGGTTTCATGCTGTGAGCGTGGAACTTATTGCCTCATTTTGCTTGATGGCGCTCGCAGCGTGGAATTCATGCTATTGGCGTGAGTACTTCATGAGGTTTCCACGCTGATGGCGTGGTTACCACGCTGTGAGCGTGGAACTCACTGTCTCTTTTGGTCTTGTGGCGCTACTAGCGCCAAATTGGCGCTGACAGCGCCAATTCCCAGATTTAAATTTTTTTCATATGGTCACTAATTCACCACTTACTTGACTTATTAAAAATTAAACTATCCTAAGAAAATAAAATTAATAAAATAAAAACAGAAAAACAACTATTGGGTTGCCTCCCAATTAGCGCTTGTTTAACGTCACGAGCCTGACGTACCCCTTTTGATTTATGGTGGTTGGAAGCATGCTCCATTGATGACCCAATCTTCTTGATCCAGTATTGTTTCCTTTTATGATCATATGCATGTGGATAAGGATGAGGGTTCTCAGGAACTTTGAACTTAGTCTTCAAACGCTTTTCCTTACTCTTGGGCTTTTCCATCTCAACCTTTGGCTTGCTTTCTTTATACTGCTGATGGACTTCTTTCTTTTTCCCTTCCTCAGCCTTTTTCTCCGCAATGTAATTGACTTGATTCTTAGGTTAAGAAGAAGGCAATGGAAGAGATTCATTTATGAATACCTTGAATATTGCTTGCTCTCCATCCACACGCATTATCAATTCACCCTTAGGTACATCGATTAACGCTCCTGAGGTTTCTAAGAATGTCCTCCCGAAGATCATAGGCACACTGGCATCTTCATCAATGTCAAGGATGACAAAATCAACAGGAATTAGAAATTTGTCTACCTTGACTAGCACATCTTCCACAATACCATATGCTTGCTTTGTTGAGCGGTCGGACAGTTGAACATTCATCCTAGTTGGCTTGACTTCATCAATTCCCAGCTTCTTCATCAGGGTTAATGGCATCACATTAACGCTGGCACCGAGATCACATAAGACTCTCTCTATAGTGTCTTGCCAATGGTGCATGGAATACTGAAGCTTCCTGGATCCTTCAACTTTGGAGGTATGTTTTTCTGCAGGATTACACTGCACTCCTCTGTTAATGTGACAGGTTCATCCTCTGTGAGCTTCCGCTTCTTAGATAATATCTCCTTCAAAAATTTGGTATACGAAGGAATTTGCTCCAGAGCTTCTGCAAAAGGAATGTTAATTTGCAATTTCTTAAAAATATCTAAAATTTTAGCAAATTGCTTCCTTTGTTCATGTTGTTTGAGCTTCATAGGATATGGAGGTTTCTCAAAACGAGAGAAATCCCATTGCTTCTTTTGAACTGCAGAAGGTTGCTCTTTTGCCCTTTCTTTGCCTTCTTGGATGTGCTCATTCTTGTCTGTAGAAACTTCAACTTCCTCTTTTTCTAGCTCCTCCATTTTAGTAGTGATGGCACTGCAGTGCTCCCTTGGATTCACAATGGTATCACTATGGATTGTTCCTTGACTCCTCTCAGCAAGTTGTCTTGAAAGTTGGCCTATTTGAGTCTCCAAGTTTCTGATGGATGCATCCTGGTTCTTGTGGTAGGCTCTGGTCTCAATTATGTGATCATTTGTGTTCTTGGCTAGTTGTATCATCGTTTTCTCCAATTCGGATGACTCTTTTTGTGGTAGAGGAGGAGGTTGCAGATAGTTGTTGGATTTATAATCCAAGCCGCTCCCTTGATTCCTCCTTGGAAAGTTGTTCCCTTGGCCTTCATTCTGATTCCTTTAATAACAATGAGTGTTTTGTGGAGGCCTTGGATCATACCAAATTCCATTGACCTGGAATGGTTCAGCTCTATTGAGTG